GCCACCATCAAGAACTCGGGCTCTCACTCTCTCTCTCTCTCTCTCTAACTTTGTCTAAGCGCTTTGATCTCGCCAGTGATCACCTGTGCATCAGATAGAGCGCAAAAGAGAAACCGTAGACGATTATAATTCGGATGCGTTCGATTTCGTATTAGTCACATCAGTCAGCGCATTTCTAATCCCTCGGCGAACAAATGTAACGTGTCATTCTCGCTTGTCACGGACATAATATCGGAAATTGACCACGACATTACGTCGATTTCAATTATCCGATCGCAAAAGGACGAGAGATAGATAATCGAACGTCGCGTACATATATATACATCCGCGCCGTCAGCGTCGATAATTAGATACATCGGGGATGAAGCTTGTCGCACGGCGGATCGGGATGTCGTCGGTCGGTCGATCGATCCCTCCCTCTCCCCCCTTCCCCCCTGACCGTCGCGAGCGTACGTCCCGCGCGCGCGATCGCGCCGATTAGACGGTAACGGCGTCAAAAGGGCGAGGTAAATATTTATCGCGAGTGAGGGACGATTTGAGGAGGAGAGGCGGGAAGAGGTGCCGCGAGATGTGCAACGGAGGCCCCGGAGACGCGCCGGACAGGATACGGAGAAGGCTATAATACAGCTTTGCCGCAAGCGAGCGAGAGAGCGACTCGCCGCGCCGGCCAACCGGCGTCGGTCGGTTTTGCTTGGACTCTCTCGGCGCGGCTTGCCGGATGATACCGGCGGGAAAAAGGAAGAGAGAACGGGAGGGTAGGAGAGACGCGAGGGAGGCTACGGCGGTGAGGAGAGGTCGGAGCGGAGGAACGAACGAACGAACGAACGAAGCAACGGACGGACGGACGGTGGAACCTTGGTCGTGTTATGGCGCGGGGGAAAGGAGGAAACGGCCGGTTCGTTTGATCTCGGCCGCGGGCGCCGACAAAGCGCTCGTCCACTCTCCTACAACGGCGGACCGTCCCTTGGGTGCGCGCGCGAGAGCGGCGTCCGTGTGTTAGCCGGGAAAGGGAGAAAGACAGAGCGGGAGAGGTAGACAGATAGATGGATAGAGAGGGGAGGCTGAACGGGCGAGCGAGCGAGCGAGAGCGAGGAAGACGCGAAGCGGAAAGGAGGGAGAAAGAACGAGCGGCGGCGGCGGCGGCGGCAAAGGACCGCGTAAAGAATGAGGAGGATGGAAGGACCGGGGTGGCCGAGGTGAAAGAGAGAGAGAGGGGTGGATGAAAAGGAGGAAGATCGTGAGCGGTACAGCGGCGAGGAAAGAGAGGGGCGGAGGGGGGCCACGAGGGATCCGTTCCACGATTCATCGTATTGCTGTTGCGCTCGCTCTAGCATGGCGTTCCGCCACGCCACTCCCTCGTGGCGGTGGTACTGACACACACACACACGCATACACACTGACACGCAATGTGCAACGCATACACGCACGCGTGCGCGCGCGCACGCATCGGGTTTGCTATTAATAAATAATGCTCTCTGTAGTCCGCATTACAACTAAGATTCCTTCCCACACCATCATCGCGGCTGTTGTCGTCGATGTCGTCGTCGTCGTCGTCGTCGTCGGCGTCGTCGGCGTCGTCGTCATCGTCGTCGTCGTTGTCGTCGGCGAGGATGTATTCTCGATTTCGAACACTCGACCGCTCGTGAACTCCGCCTTCTCTCCTTCTGTCCCATTCTGTGTGTCCCCGGCCGACACACGACGGACGGACATGCGGTCTGTCACATCACGGAGGGACGCATTGATGTTCCACACGGCCTCTCCTCGCCGTGTGTATATGTGTATTTATGTATGTCGGATCCCTATATACATGTGCGCGCATTTCGTGGGATCGCCACGAAGGAGAAACGCGTCAATTATTTCACATCGAGAAAAAGTTGCACCGGAGAAAACAGAGGGACGGAGGGAGAAAGAAAGAGAGAAAGACGAGAGAGAGAGAGAGAGAGAGAGAGAGAGAAAGAGAGAGAGCCGGGACCAACAATGATGGGCCGCGTCTGTGGCCTGACGAGAGAGAATTTCCTTCTTTCCACAATATTTTGCTGAATCCATATAATGAGATATTGATTCGTCTTTAATAATATCGTAGTAATTACGCGTTCACGATAATGCCGTTTTAATGTATTTGCGTTAAAATCGCATTATCCTTCGTTCCCCGTACCCATTTTCTCATATTTAATATCGTCATTTGAATATCGCAGAAATATAAATTGGCAACCAATTTAAATGGATAAAACAATCGATAAAATACGTACGTAAGCTTGACTAAATGCTACAAATTTTATCAATATCGAAATACAGAGAATTAATATTATGGTCTTTGTCCGCTTGTAATTATCGCCCGGTATGGGGCAATCGCGTACGTAATTGCGCGCGTTTACTTTAATTTGCGGGAGCAAAAATAACCGAATTACAAAATCCCCCGACGATCGATAACCCGGCGATAGCCGTTCGAATAACGTGTGACACATAAATGATAAGGGGATGCCTCTTTGAAGTCCTCGGGGTTTCCGCGCCCAATAAACCGACAAAAGCAGCCGCCGCGCATTATAAATTACGGCGTTCATTAGGAAGGCAATAGTTGCGCGCGGTAATAAGAGAGGCATTAAAGCCCGAGAGCCTCCTTCCCTCCTTCTTGTATATATGTGTATATGTTCTACCGTGGCGCGTATCGAAAAAAAAAAAACAAAAAAAAAGGGAAGGAAAAAAAATTAAAAGTTGGAGAAACGTTGAATTAACGCGGAATGATTCAAGCGCGGCTTCCTCGAACTCAAAAGTAATCGGGATCGGGCGATAGAGAGGCTGCGATAACGCGGCGAAAAATCGGGAGAGGCGTTTCTTAACCGGCGACACCGAGGAGAGACATCTCGGTGGTGCTCTCTCGACCGACCACACTCCTCGACGAAGAGTGTTTTCGTTCATTGAGGACCTTGTGTTCGTTTTACTCCGGCCGCGCGCGGGGAACACGAACCGTGGCCGATTGGACCGTTGCCCGGTCGAAGAAGAAAAATAGAACGCCGGCGAAAAAGAAGCGTTACGATATTCGTGGAAGATTTTTCTAAAAGCGGCCGCGATAAAAATGCAGAGCTCTCGGAATAATCGAGCGCTTTAATGCGGCAGGGGGGATGGGGTGGGTCGTAAAATGCGGACCGATCCATCATCTTTGGCACGTATATCGATAAAAAAAAAAAAATATATATATATGGCTATAAACGATAGATAAACAAAATAGTTAAAAATCTTCGAAAGTTGAGGTTTTTCGAAATATTGTAAGTTATTTATTTTAGTAGAATTGCAATTTCTAGCTATGATTCGGACTTGAAGAAAATGATTGTAGAACGTTAAGACGTTTGATTTTTGAACCTCCAAGATTTGCCTGAATGTAAAAACGCGCGGTCGATCTCTATATGCTCAAAATCTCTTCCCTGAAAACGGATGTAATCTGGCTAATCTTCCTCTGTCCGTGTGTACCATGATGTTACGATAATTTATAACATGGTGGCTCCATCTAGTTGTTGAAATTGTTACTCGGTACACATGCAGTTGCATGCAGGGTGGGGCGTTTAAAATGATAATTTAAATTTAACCTAATATAAATATAATATATTATAAATTTAATTTAATATAATGTAATTTAATTTAATAAATTAATAACACGTGAAATATAATAATTTAATTCATATCTAATGTAAGCATATGCAATATACATAAATTGTTATCTTTAATATGTTCTAATTAATCTATGTAAATATAATGAGTAATCTAGGGATCACCAAAAGATTCATGTTTATCAGAAATATTGGAAATTTATATTTGTAGAATTTTATTTTGTAAAGTTATTATTATTATTATTTAAAAGCTTGATGCTAGATATAATTTTGTTAACAATTGGCTCGAATAATTTTTTCCACGAATCCGACTCGTGTTTTTTACGTCCGACTCGTAATACATACCACGAGTCTGACTCGTGTTTATCATGTTTGGCCCGTAATTCATACCACGAGTCTCGCTCGATATTATTATTATACAGCAAGGGGTTAATTGGATCGATTATATGCCGATCGAAGTCGACTATTGGATGTTCTTCTAAAATGTTTTAGAAGAATAACGCTGATGGGAAATATTCCCGATTCAGAAAACTGTTCAGACATAGTACGTGACATAGATTTTTATAAACACTGGCGAGGAGTATCGATTCGTAGGCAGAACAACTGACTCATATAAAAAATTTCAAGAAAATTAATTATTTGTTATTTAATGACGCTACGTACTTTTTTGTTATATGTATGTATAAAAATAAAGTTAGCAATAATATTTTTGCTATTATTTAGCGGTTTGCCTGCATTAATCATAAATAAAACGAGTCTCAAGCTTAAGACTTCAGACTGCATAAAACATCAGTTACCGTGCAGTTACTGAAGACTGCAGTGAGGACAAATACTTGGAGCACAGAACATTATCTTGAAATTATATAAGTCAGCCGTATATTCTGCTAGTCGGCCCACATTTCCACATTTGAACTCGCAAACGGTTGCCGCGTGCGAGGCGAGGGGAAACCATTTGTTTTATACTTATATCTGGAAAAAAAAGCGCGGCGTATCCAGCGCGACATTCATTGACCTTTCGTACGCCCTGGACGCTGTATATATACGTGCGATGGCGGCGTGGCGATGAACCGTGACATAAATTACAATAATTCCGCGTCGGCCGCCGGCTCGCGGCGTCCTGTAATTCGATTCTTAATGATAGCGGCAGCCGTCGAGGCGATTCGCGTAATTTCGCGAGATACCGGTTCGGCTCAAAACTCCCAAACCGGTATTACGGACAACGTAGAATCGCCGTGAGAAAAAGAGAGAGACAGGAAGGAGGCGGCAAAGGGGATTCCTAATCGGTTTTAATAGCGCGCGGCTCGTTTCTTGTGTATATTATATATACATATATAAATCGTGATGTATAATGCGTCGTAGCGCGTATATATTTGCCGACGTCATTCATGAATTAAAATCCCCGTTTCACCTACAGTTGATTGCGCTAATCGAATTCAATTGGACACCGGATGAGCGGAGATTGCGTGTCAATAAATCGCTATATAAGGAAACGACGCTGCGATGTTGGCTCATCATTAGCCAACTACGGTTTTTCCCCGGTTAATCGTGCCTTTCCGGCTGCTTCTTCAGTTCGCTGTTAACATTATTTGTAAGTGAAACGAAGCCACCGCGATCAATCCGCGAATTTTAGAAGACCGTTTCGTGTCGTGATTAAAATTGCGTTAATTAAAAAACACTTGTACGTTTTATTTGCGCGACTTGATGAAAGCTTGAAAGTGTTTAAACTTTTAACAATTCATATAAAATTTACAAGGTCCCGTGTTTATTATAATTCATGACTCGTGCAAAATCTGTTCGGAAACTTTTTAATACCCTTGCCATGAATATTCTTCTGTCGTATTAATTGTGTCTTATAAATTCTATTAAATTCAATCCAAATTATTTCGCAGTTATTTAATTGTAATTGATTTATTGGCAAGTGATTAACCAAATCATTTATAAATACTTATAGTGACAACTTATTAATTTATCAACGCATAACACATCACGTAGAAGCAAATTATTATTTACAAAAAAAAAATTGTGTATTTGATTCATCACGTATATTATGCGTTACATAACTTCCTTCTTTTAAACGACAGAAAATGAAGATACTGTTGGTCGCTGTTGCATTGCTCGTAGCCATCGAGACTGAAGCTCATTCGGGGTGGTGGAATCAAGAAAGAAGAGGAAACAATTATCCTGGCCACACTTGGGATCAGAATCCACAACGGATGGAGAATCAAAACAATGGATTTAGTTCCGACGTCGAGTGGGTATGCCAAAATCCAAGGACACATGATATGGTACGCACTTTATGTACAATAATCGCAACAATTTGGAAATCTTAACAAACGCAATGTTTTTGCAAAGAGTCAAGCTTTTATATACGTATATCGAAAAACTTTAGTAATTTGCAATCATCCACAGTAATATTTTTCAAGACTTAGAAAAAAATTTCCTGGTATAAATTTCAACCGGAAAGAAATTAGATAGTGAAAAGATATAGTCGACTGAATTTATAATCCAGTTCGCTGGACTTTGATACCTGATGTTTGAGATTGACTTTCGAAGTATTTTAAAATTAAAGATCGAGAACATTGCAACACATAAAAATTGCAAAGTGCCGTATAAATATTGATATATTCATAGCAGAATGCAAATATGTACAATTTAAAAAACACATTTCATGCTTTGTAGATGATTATTGCCGCCGACGACACACGACGTACGCCGCAACAGAATGATAGGGTATGGTGGCAAAATCAATGGAATGGTAATGGGGACACCATTCCACACAGACCCCATAGGGAGCATCAACACGGAAATCCTTGGAATCAACCAATCATCATCATTCAAGAAGTTCCGAATACTGATGATAAAAATCAACCATTTCCGACAACACCAGGAAATCGATTGCCATTTTCGACAACACCGAAAACCCCTAATAATAATAATAATAATAACAACGGACAAACGGAATCTCCGCCTTATAACGGTGGAGAAGGATTAATCGACATTAGAGTCGGTGACAATAATTAAACAGAATAATCTGTATTTCTGTTTTTAATTAAATAGACTTAATTAAATATAGAGAGTACGATTATATTTAACTTTGTATTTTTTTTATAAACATCTGTTATTACTATGTTATAGACAATCATTTATCGCAATATTGATTTTTTTATAAGAGGCAGGATTTTTCTACAAACAAATATTTTATAATAAAATATGCTATTAATATATACTATATTATTTTTTGAATACTATACAATTTATATTCAGTTTTCTTTATTAGTGGCTAAATAAGTGAAAAGTTAATTGTTAGAAAAATGTTAATATTAAAAAAAAGTAAAGTAACAGGATTAATCTGTAATTAGTTTTAACATATAAGAAAGAGTATATATATTTTCAATGTTATGTAGGTCACCTGGGTGTTTTCTACTTAGTGATGCAAGTCGATCAAACGTTCTATCCTTTTTAGCATTTATAATAAGTAATTAAATAAGCAATTACTTAAAGACAAAACAATACTAGTGTCGGCTTAATTGTGTCACTAAATGGAAAGCACCTATTATAATTTTAAGAATAAAAAAATTCTATTTAGATATTTAGATATTTAGTATAATGTATCATCAATCATTATGCATACAATGATCAAGAAATAATTTACTTTCTTAATTGTGTAGCAATTATTTAACGGACTTTTCACTTTTTTAAGTAAATTCATACATTTATTTTCCATTTATGTAGAAAGTGGACTTGTATGAATGAATGTAAATTAATTTGACTGGCAAGCATTATAGCTGCATGAGCGGAAACATATATACAGACTTATATAATCGGCTGAACATTTCTATTGGAGAAGTTTTGAAGACAATTTTCAGATCAGAGTAAAATATCTAAAGGAGAAAAATCTTTTGTGGTTATCTTGGTTGATCATATATATCTCTCCTCTTAAAAACTTCAGCCCCACAGCAATATATATATGTATATGCTCCGTTCAGCGAACGATCGTATTCTTAAAAAATATCACTTACGGAAATGTATGAAAATACTATAATTTACGTTATTTACACTGTAGATGTTTCTAGTGTTTTCCTTATGCGAAATTTTTCAAGAATAGGAGCTACCGTATTGTTTTTTTATCACTAATTAATTTAATTCTTACCGTATCGTTTTGTTTTGTTCTCCGTCCATTTTCTGCGAATAATAATTTATTTGTGTAAGATGTACATTTTGCAATTGGTAATTCGTGAATGTAACCGGTCGATCAAACTGATCGGAGATGGGCAAAAGGCGGTCCAGCAGCAGACTCCACTGGCTCCAGGCTCCAGATATCTCGTACATACGTCTGACGCGTGCTTGGGGAAACTAACTGAGCGCTGCGGTAGTGCGGCAGAGGTACTAAAGCGATTGCACACACTGGTTGCAACCAGGTTTAAAGCGGATTGCAGTACCTGAATTTGTACCTGTATTGGAGTCATTGGAGACACTGGTGGATCGTTCGATTAGCGCTGAGCAGTGTTGATTTATACGCGAATGCGAAAATATGGCAAGTTCGTCACGGTAAGTTTCGCGAAGAGTGAATACCATTTACGGAGCGTCGATTGTCAAAAATACAACAGCCGATCACGAGTCGCGCTTGAGGCTCGTTAAGCGGGGTGTTGCAGTCGAAAGTAAAGGTTAAGATTTGCGTATAATCGAGCGATTTTATTTACGCGTACGAGGCACGCACTTCTCATCGACGTGGGAGTAAATTAATTGCGACAGCGATGAGCCGCGACGCAAATCCTTAAGTCGGAATTAACTCGCACGGCCGTAAAACGTTCACGTTCACGCTTCGACACATTAACGTTTGTGGCCGGAGATAAACTCGGGAAGAACTTATTTTATCTGTGTTGACACTGGCGGGATCGACACTGCGGTAGATCTCGCGTTTCTACGAAAGATTCATCTTGTGTCAAACGTACGAGATATTCGCGAGAGTGAAATATTTTAGTCTTGAAATTTCTCTTCGCAGGAACGCCACGAACAAGGTTTGTTGTTACGCACATCCAGATGCCCCACTTATAGAAGATTACAGGGCAGGAGATCAGATTTGTTCAGAATGTGGATTGGTTGTGGGGGATAGGTAAGAAAAAAAAAAAGAGTCAACGAGTGGGATCCGATTGCCCGCTCATTGAATGTAAAATATAAAATTTCCTGATTGTTTGGTCCAATGGAAAATTTTGTCATGAATAGTGTGGTAAATTATTGCAATGTGGTCATACAGATGCTCCCAAGATACAAGTGTGAGGATATTATTATTGTTCGTCATATGATACATTTTTCAAGCTTGTTGATTGGCTTGAAAGCTAGAGAGTCTTTTGGATACTCGAGAACTGGACGCACTCCGTATTAGAGACATTGCTGGATAAGCTGGGTTTGAGTGGTGCTGAACAGTGTCAACTTATACGCGAATGTAAAGATACGACAAGTTCACGTCATGAGCTAGAGAGTTCTAGATCCTCTCAAGAACTTCTCTTTTCTGCAGCCAATTATATGTAGCATGCTTGAAAAATTGTCGTACGACAAATGTAATACCAACCTGAGGCCTGGTTTATGCTATCGGTTCTTAATCTTAAAATCCTAAAATTCAACTAATGAGAATACAGATTTTGGCTAGGACAGCTCGATTGGCTGACGTCTAAGGATTTTGGAATTAAGATCAAAGCATAAACCAGACCTAAGGCTAGCTGGAATAAGTTTGACACTCATGCGTTCCTTATGTCTTACAGAGTGATAGATGTAGGTTCAGAATGGAGGACGTTTAGCAATGAAAAGTCAGGAGTGGACCCATCACGTGTTGGTGGCCCGGAGAATCCACTTCTCAACGGCGCGGACTTGTCCACGATGATTGGACCAGGCACGGGTGCCGCGTCATTCGATGGCTTCGGTACCGCCAAGTATCAAAATCGGCGTACAGTTAGTATTGAATTTCTCCTGTCCTTGTTACGTGACAACATTGTTAATATAAAATATATTCTTTTCTTTTAATATAAAATGTATTCAAACGAAAATATATTCTTCTCAGATGAGCAGTTCCGACAGAGCTTTACTCAATGCGTTTCGCGAGATCAACGGTATGGCAGATCGTATCAATTTACCGAAGACCATCGTGGACAGAGCCAACACCCTGTTCAAGCAAGTGCACGACGGCAAGAATCTGAAGGGTCGCGCGAACGACGCAATTGCCTCCGCGTGCTTATACATCGCCTGTCGGCAGGAGGGAGTGCCGCGTACATTCAAAGAGATCTGTGCGGTCAGCAAGATAAGCAAGAAGGAGATTGGTCGGTGCTTCAAGTTGATTCTCAAAGCTCTCGAGACCAGCGTGGATCTCATCACTACCGGCGACTTCATGTCCCGATTTTGCTCCAATCTCGGCCTTCCCAATATGGTACAAAGAGCTGCTACGCATATCGCTAGGAAAGCGGTGGAGATTGATATAGTACCTGGAAGATCGCCCATCTCTGTCGCCGCTGCGGCAATTTACATGGCATCACAGGTACGCCAAACTGTACGGCGACAGTACTTTTTTTTTTTTTTAAGCAAGTAAATTAAGTGGAGCACTACTTTATTTTCATGCATCTTTATGTTACACAGGCGTCGGAAGACAAGAGATCGCAGAAGGAGATTGGCGATATCGCCGGTGTCGCGGACGTCACGATCCGACAGTCGTATAAATTGATGTATCCTCACGCGAGCAAACTCTTTCCGGAAGACTTCAGATTCGCCACGCCGATCGATCAGTTACCGCAGATGTAAAAACAGGGAAGAGCTTCACTTTCTTCTTTCGAAATATTATTTTAAAGAAATACTTCTTTTCCATCACAAGCGTAAGCCATTGTGCGTAAATCCGACTATTTTCATTAACAGGATACATTCCTGAATAATTTATGCGATTCAATATTTTTTATTTTACCGCGAATGATATATTAATACTTTTTTTCCTTCTCTCACTTTATTCAGAATATATTTTTCAAGGGTACAACGGTGCTTAGATGGAATATATTTAACATTCATATTCTGTTATTTCACATACTGCAGTATAAAAATTGCCTCGTGTAATTTATATTTCCTTTACGTAGCACACAATTCGACTTCCTGTTATTTTTTTCTGTTTGTAAATTTATATCTTATAGCGCAAAAAAGGCTATTAAATTTTGCGCTGTTACATAGTCGATAAAACAACTATTTTTTCAACTGTACTGTTAGAAAACAAATTCTTACGAGATGGCCTCACTCTTATCTGAAATACATACGTATAAGATATGCATATACATACAAAAATTCATAGTTGATACAATTAACCCTAGTACATTAAAATATAATTATATAAATGTATAAATATATTTATATAATTATACATATATACATATTATATATAAATATTATACAATTTTCTATAAATTGTACTACAATATTCTATGTATATATAACTGATATATACATTTAATTATGTAATTAATATTTATAACGCATATATAACATCCAAGTTTAGAATAGATATCTTTAGGGGATACGTACAAGATAGAAGGGAACAGGAAATTATGTATATGCACATGTGTATGTTGCGCGATGACATGTTAAATTTTGTAAGTTTTTTTTTTCTACAAAATCCTTACATCCCCTTGATAAAGTTAGTCCGATGTTATTGATCCTGAATATTTTTTTTTTGCAAGTTTAAGTTGTTCCATCGCAATTGAGAAGTGAAGTATTGTAACAATAAGGATTGTATAAATTTATTCTGTGATATTTAAAAGGTGAAAGGAACAGTAACATCGCGAGTGTCCATAATTCGCCAATTTATTTTTAATGCATAATGACATTTTTGAACATATATAAGTGTGTACCAGCAAAATATATATATATGCGTCCTGCATTATATACTTGTTAATCCTCTATTTTTAAAATAGTAACAAAATTTGAATGCTGTTAGCTTCCAAGATACAATTATTACTTTCTATTGATAAGCGTGATAAGCGAGTTTTAAATAAAACAATTTCGACAACTTGCACCTTAATTATTCCTAAAACGGGCATTTCGTTCTGACAGAATTTCTTTATGGAAATTTTATGACAATCTTGCAAATGTATTCCAAGTACCGATAGGAACGCAAATATGCATAATACGCGTCTCCTTGACACACGAACTGTATTCGTTAGCTGCGAAAAAATACATGTGTTTTTCTACAGTGATGGTGTAAAGTAAAACGTGCAATTGATGACAGATCTTCATTTTCCATCTTTCCTCTTTTCCTTCTTTTTAATAAAATCTATTTCATTTAAAATCATGACTGATAATTTTACAGGCGATTTCCTCCACATTTCGCTCGGAAAATCTGTTTCAATTCTTTTATACATATATGTATGAATAAATATATCTAAAAAGTCTGACAATGAATCATAAAAATTTCTTTATCTCTCTGTTTCAATGTAAAAAATCTACTATTTCATTTAAAATCATGACTGATAATTTTACAGGCGATTTCGCTCGGAAAATCTGTTCCAGTTCTTTTATACATATGTATAAATAAATTTATATCGATCCAAAAGTCTGAATCAAAAATTTTCTTTACCTCTCAGCTCTCTGTCCTCCGTTTTGACACTTGACTCTTACGTAGTCACGTGGCAAGTGTGCGTAAAGAGGGAGAGAAGCGCGAGGGGGAAATTTTAGTTTAGAGAAAAACAGCTGACTTGAAGCCTAGAAAAAAGCTTAGAATAGAGAAGCTGTCTCGTGTATACAACAACTCAACCTGACTAAATTATAATAATCAATCGGAGGAAACACCAAAACAAACGAGTTATGACAAAAAATTTATGTGTTATTTTATATTCAAAACACATTAAAAATCTTGTAATGTATGTGGGCCGATAGAATTTTTCGTCATACTTTTCTCATTTATATGCACTCATGTATATCTAATATATCGGCAAGAGAGAAGAGAGAATTAAATTGAGAAGGGTTAACCTTAATCAGAACAACAAACAAGTTTGGTTAAGAGAGCAAATATAAATTAGATTAGTAAGTATATAGTATTTAATCTAAACAAATATTTAATGCTGTTCTGACAGCAAAGCATATTTTTCTATTAATTATACGATAACAATTACTTTCGTTTTGTAGCTATAACCTACAATTATAAGATGAATATGACGCCTCCCGTTAAACCACCGCGGGGGATTAAACCGACGAAAGAAACGGCAAGTATATTTTATAATTATGGAAAATTCTCTTATTTTGAATTCTATTAAAAGACTGGTTGAATAAGTCTTCGTCACGTGTCTTGCACATCCTACAGAGTGGTTTGCTGATCTCGGTGATCCGAGCCTTATCGGCCAGCGAAACGAACGAGCAACGCGAGATCGAGAAGGCTAAGTTGGAAAAGGAGTACAAACGAAGTGATCAACGCCTGGAAGAATTGGTTTCGTCGCACGATCAGGATCTCATGGAAGTCATGCGAGTAAGTCGTGGGTCACGCATATTTGAATTTAGCAAGAAACCTGGATACTTAATGCATGTATCTTATCGCGTTGTATATTGTCTCAGATATTCAGTGCGCTGTCTGAGAAGGTTACATCGTCGCGAGAAAAGATCCATGCAGTGAAGGAGAATCTGAACGCCTGCAAACAATTGCTGAGATGCAAACGAGAGGAGCTATTGAATTTGTGGCTGGAAGGGATAGAACATAAGCAAGTCTTGCATCTTCTAAAGGATGTGTAAGTATATATATATGCTTCCATACGTGTATTTTAGATTCTAAAAATAATGTGTTTCTTTTTTAATAATTAATTCAATAAATATATATAACTCATCGAGGGATCAATTTTAGGTCGTCGGATTCGTGTGGACGTATAATAACAGGTTTAGCAGAACCGGAGTTGCTGCCGTTGTCCAATACAGCGCACGATACCTCAACAGATCAATAGCTATATATCTCATTCTGTACATAACACGTTTATTATAGATAAAAATTAAGCAAAAAATCAATTATATAGGTAATAATTAAGAAATTGTGAATTTCCAGCTTCACGTAACATTAAATCAATGTAGAATTATAATTCAGTTTTTAAGTGCAATGTACAATATGTTTCTATGTTACGTAAGTTCAAATAAAACAAATTTCTGTCTACATTACTATTTTATACTTAAATTATAATTCACTTTCATGTTATCCAACGCGAAATAAATTTGAGATTTAAAATTTTCGCAGTCTAAAATTCTATGTGGAATCGTGAAAAAACGTATGTGTACATTGTATTTTAAAAAATTATAAAATATAATAATCAACGGTCATAATAGCACGAATATTTAGACACGACGCTGCTGGTGTATCCGCAATTGGTACAACTTCACGTTTGAAGCTATGCGAAGCATCGCAAGTTTAGGCACTAACGAAGTATCGATGCCGCGGAAAGGTGGCGCTTGTGCTTCTGCTATTTCCGTAATTCCGTATCAGCTGATAACATATGACGCGAATGTGCGAAGGGCGACCACGGATATACGGTTATACTCCGAATACTCCGATCGAAATCCGACCATTCCGATTTTTTCTGTGTTCATGAACGGTGCATCCGGCAGGAGTCGTGTCCTTCGACAAGCCGATTTTTTATTGTTTTACTTTCTTCACATATGTCGGATGATTTTATTTTGTACGAGAGAGATACGTGTGATATATTAAATACAGCACGGTTAATATATAGACGCGATAATCAATAAGTTTAATCAATTTAAGTCATAATGGGCAGCCAAAAAACAGTACCGAACGGTGTCAAGTTCCTTATTGGTGGAACTTCTGGGTTTGTGTTATTTTTTTTTTTACATTTATTTTGGACATGTGACATCTCTGTGAATCAGATAAACATGAGGCGACAGTTCGAGAAAATAATGTTTCTTGATAGTTGTAAGCAGTTATAAGAGCGTTTCGTAATTGAAGTTCGAAGGTCGAGATTAAATTTTATCAGAACTGTTTCTTGTAAATTACATAACTGGCATTGATTAATAAAAAGAAATAGAAGAAAAAAATTTGAATTTTAATTTTTCACGATGATGCAATTTGTGTATATATATATAATATGTATAACTTATTGGCATACTATAAATAGAGTTGTAACCCTGGACAAACTGATATAGCTCTGCTCTTATAACTGAGCGCCGTAAAAAATTTAATATTTAATTTTTTTTTTAATTTATGGATACAAAATAAATTTATACATTGCTCTTTACATATTATTTTAATTATTTTGATAAATAAACTGATTTTATTTAATTCTTAAAAATTCAAATGCTAATATGTTATAGTTTATAATCTTGTTACTTAAAAATATATATATAAAATTTCAATAATAAAATTTCATCAAAATATACTCATATTCTAATTACTAGCTTTTATCAAATATAACTGTTGCATGAAATTTAATGAAATAATAATAATTGAATAATTGAAAATATTAGAGAAATTATAATTTCATTAAATTAAAAATTATCTGGCATTTATAAGTTTACAAAATTTGGAGTTTATATTTTTTTCCTAAGAGAATAGTCGATAAAGGATGCAATATGTTTTATTACAGTATGGCAGCGACATGTTTTGTACAGCCATTGGATTTAATAAAGAATCGCATGCAGTTAAGCGGCACAAAAACATCGACATTAATAGTTACATCGGCAATTCTGAAAAATGAAGGTGCTTTAGCATTATACTCGGGCTTATCTGCCGGTTTAATGCGACAGGCCACGTATACCACTACTAGACTTGGTATATATACTTGGCTCATGGAACTTTCTTCGTAAGTTAACTTTATATAATTACTTTATCAAGATTTTACAATTATTTAAGTAAATTTGTTATTAAGAATATATTTGTCTTATTTAAGGAAAGATACGCAACCAAGCTTTGTTGTGAAAGCACTGCTTGGTATGGCTGCTGGATGTGTCGGGGCATTTGTAGGCACACCCGCTGAAGTAGCTTTAATTAGGATGACAGCAGACGGAAGACTGCCTATTGGTAAATTTTTACTTTTTCTCCATACACAACACAGGCTTATTACTTGAGTATATCGCTAGTTCAGTACACATATCCACATACATATTGTAGAACTTAAAAGATTTAACATTCTTTAAACGCAGCTGACAGGCGCAATTACAAAAACGTATTCGATGCGTTATTCCGCATAATTAGAGAGGAGGGTCTCTTTACGTTATGGCGTGGCGCCATTCCTACTATGGGACGAGCTATGGTTGTAAACGCGGCACAGTTGGCGTCGTACTCTCAGGCAAAACAGGCATTGCTGGACACAGGTTTGTAGAGACATTGCATTTACACGCACTAAAGTTTTATATAAATGTTGTACTATTTACATTTGCTTTTTCTTTTTGAAATAGGATATTTTAAGGAAAATATCGTATTACACTTTGCAAGCTCTATGATTTCTGGTTTAGTCACTACTGCTGCCTCTATGCCGGTAGATATAGCTAAAACAAGGTATTATCACAAATTCGTTTAAAATTCAATTAATTTTTTGGTATATACATAATTCAAATTTTATAACAATCCTTCCAGAATCCAAAACATGAAAACAATAAACGGCAAACCGGAGTTTACAGGCGCAATTGATGTCCTGACCAAAGTTATAAGAAACGAAGGATTGTTTGCATTGTGGAAAGGATTCTTCCCGTATTACGCACGTCTAGGACCCCACACAGTTTTGACATTTATTTTCCTTGAGCAAATGACTGCTGCTTACAAAACGCACTTGGCATAATTTTAATTGTGCGCGCTTACAGAAAACTTCATTGATTTTTATTAATGGTTTAAGGATCTTATTCTCCCCTTGCTTTATCGCGAAGCGACATTTTCAGAAGCATTATTTTTACAATATACCCATATTGTAGCATAATTGTACCGTGGAATACATTACGCACACAGTTGCAATATTATTTTGTGTAAATATATACAGAATTTACAATTTATCGAATAATAAAGCTATTTAGCAGCTTTTATAAAATTGGTCATGTTACTAAAAAAATTGTTAATTTCTGAAAAGTATATCCTTGTCTCTTATAATTCAAGAACGATACAAAGATAAATTTTTTGACTCAATGTAAGTATAGTTTATGCATTTTAAATGCTCTACCATATTTTGGTGCTCTACCAATTTGGTTTATGTGCAATATACGTTAAGATATTATTTTAGAGAGAGAAAGACGTATATATTCTATGAATATATGTACAAATGTAGAGCTCGTCTGGTACGAATACTCTTATAGACATGCCATTTGACCCAGCCATTTAGTGATTGTTATTCTCAATGTTATTTTGTATAAAACTTGTTTTATATAGAAATACCTTAGACATTACATCTTGTATAATGAGATGCCGCTATTGTTACTATAAGGTACGAAAGTTGAACAGACGAATTAAAGTAATGTGTTAAAATGCATTAAATAAGTATTAATATGAAAAATATATAAGTAATATTGTATATTACTGAATTAACAAAGATTTAGTAATAAAAAGGTGTATTTTGACTGTATAAGTCTATCACATTTAATTATTTCCAAGTAAGGATACATATAATAAATTAAGCATCGAGATGATATTTTACTTACAAATATCTTATCAACAAACCTTTGAGGATTAAAAATAACATTTAATAATAATAATAAAATAATAAAAATATACTTATTGACTTTTATATTAAATTATATTTATATTAATAAACTATACTAAATTATACAATTATTAGTACTGATTATAAATAATGAGAATTTTAAAATCAAATTTTTTAATTATATATTTCTCTTAATTAGCGCGTATATATATATATATATATATATATATATATATATATGTTTCCGATAATTACTGCGTGTTTAAAATTCGCATAAATTAAAAACGAAAACTACGGTTTCGCATTATCTTGAAATTTATTTCTTTGTCGACAAAAATTGCTGGCAAAACAGTAATACGATATATCTGCGTATGCAACAAGTGTCATGAAATCGACGCTGAAACTCAGGGACATTTCGGTTAAACTCAGTTAAGCTCAATTCGCATATACGTATCAGAACGGTGCGGACATGATATGTCAAATATTGATTTTGTGCACTGAGAAAACGCCGGGTAATAATCTTTATATCAATCCTTCGTCACGTTGCAGCTGCAGCATGAGTCAGCTGACGGCGGACAAAGATGTTCCTTGGACGTGCATAACCACTTTTGGCGGCAAAAATAGACTCGCTTATCATGCCACACAAATATTCAGATATGCAAGTCACTTGTTATCGTTGTGTAAGTTACGAATTGACATTCAAAGCAATGCAACTACGATGAATGAAATACTCAATCAATTTAAGTCTCGTGCTGAATTTATAATGCACTTTTCTACCTTCGAGGTTATGAGCACATCGCTGTGTTGTCACTGTTGTCAATATAATTCGATATCTGTATCAATCAAATAACTAGAGTTGAAAAATATAAAATTACGAAAACGTCAAATTGTTATATACATTAATCTCGCGCGGTAAGAGAGAGAGAGAGAGAGAAGAAAAATGTGACATGCTAAAATTAAAAATTCTGAAGTAATTGTAATTTTACATAATTAAACAATGTTTTGCTCTTTTTGTTCCAGTATATATCTATTGCATGATAATTATTGTCGATTAGAAAATTTCTACATGGCCAAATTAGTATAATTATGTCAAAGAAGAAAAGAGATCATGATTGGGCAGAAAATGGTTTTGAAGAATGGGTGAGTATATATATATGTAATATTACTTATTAATTATCTATTATCTACTTGTTCCTTGTATCATTTTTTAATATTTGTAATATTCGCCAGGGCGGCTATATGGCTGCGAAGAAGGCCAAACTGGAGGAGCAGTTTCGCAAAACGGCCAGCAAGGAATTTAATAAGGAATCGTCGAAACTGCTCGAGGGAATTGCGATATTCGTGAACGGTTACACGGATCCAACGTCGGACGAGCTCAGACGTATAATGATGACGCACGGGGGAATGTATCATCATTACATGCGGCCTAAAATCACCACTCACATTATAGCGTCCAATCTGCCGTATTCCAAAATAATGATGTACAGAAGGAGCCAGAATCCAATTCCCATTTGTAAGCCGCAGTGGATCGTCGACAGCATAGCAGCTGGAAAGATCTTGAATTTCCAGAACTATTTACTTTATTCCAACAGCACTAGCGTGCAGCCTCAGTTGGCATACAAATTAAGTAACGGGGATAAGAATAATGCCAGCTCAATCGTGCACGACGAACGAGACACCGAAAAGCCTGAAGCTTCAGCGGACACCGTTCGCAACGAAACTGATACAAGTAACGGGAATTCGTCAAAGGACGACGCGTGTAATGGTGCATCGAGACAAGATGCGACCAACTCTTGCCAATCATCGAATACGAGAACAGGCGCGCAGTCGACGAGGGACGCTGAGTTTCTGTCGGCGTTTTACAGTAACTCGAGACTGCATTATATCTCTACCATGGGAACTACGTTTAAAGATTACGTGAACGAGCTGAGGGACAAGAGCGACGGGGTATTTTCCGGCCTCGAGCGTTTGATAAAATTAAGAGGCACCAGGAACGCCTCGGTTGCCTGCGAATCGGATTCCGAGGACGAGGCGATTTTTACAGATAAAATTACAAGCAAAACGAACCGTGGGCAGCGACCTGTTGTAATGCACATCGACATGGACTGCTTTTTCGTGTCCGTGGGAATAAGAAGTCGACCGGAGTTGCATGACGCACCGGTGGCGGTGGCGCACGCTAAGGGCAACACGTTCTCGGCGAATCACGACGGCAGGGAGGAGTTCGGCTCGATGTCGGAGGTAGCCTCGTGCTCGTACGCGGCGAGAGAGGCCGGCGTGAGGAACGGCATGTTTCTGGGGGAGGCGTTGAAGCTGTGCCCGAACTTGCGGACGATACAGTACGATTTCGAGGGCTACAAGGAAGTCTCTTACGTACTGTACAATACTGTGGCGTCGTACACTTTGGACATCGAGGCGGTAAGCTGCGACGAAATGTACGTCGACTGCACGAAAATCCTCGAAGCGTCTGGACTCTCGCCGTTGGAGTTCGCTACGATAATTAGGAATGAAATAAAGCGGAAAACGGATTGCCCGGTGTCCACGGGATTTGGCAGTAATAAGCTGCAGGCGAGACTGGCAACGCGAAAGGCTAAACCCGACAATCAATTTTATCTCAGCGATCGGAATGCAGAGACATTCATTCGATCTTTTAGTATAAGAGATTTACCAGGTACTTTTGAGCGCGATCGATATCATTTATATTATTTAGTAAAAACTAAATTCTACATTTAAAGAAGAAACACTTTTGTTAAACGAGTATATTGGATTTGCATTTTGTAATAAGTATAAAAACTTATATAGCTTTGATTTTTATTCTCTCATTGAATCATTTTTTATTCTCTTATCGTTATTAGAATTAAAATTTAATTTACCCGATTTTTTTTTCGTCTTTATTTGTAGGAGTGGGCGGAACGACAACGTATAAATTACGTAAAATGAATGTACATACGTGCGAAGATTTACAGAAGATCTCGTTGGGAGTTTTACAGAAGGAATTCGGCAAAAAGATGGGAGAGCAGTTGTACAAGATGTGCCGTGGATTGGACGACACAAAGCTGAATCTGGAGTACGTCAGAAAATCTGTATCGGCCGAAGTTAATTACGGCATAAGATTTCAGAATAATGGCGATGCTGTCGACTTTTTGAGCGAATTATCCGTGGAAGTGTGCAATCGGTTGACAGCAGCCCGTGCGAAAGGCAGATGCATCACGCTAAAATTGATGGTCAGAGCTGAGGAAGCGCCGAAGGAAACCCCGAAGTTCATGGGCCATGGTCTTTGCAATTATATTACAAAATCGAAAAATCTTATAGCGGCCGTTGACGATGTCAGTATCATCAAAAAGTGAGTTTTCGCTTTATTAATCTGCTAATCTTGTATATATTTTATACTTATATATATATTTTTTTTCCCCGCAAAATTAGATCGCGAAGTACTAAGTACATATTTTATGTGATTTAGGGAAGTTATAAATATTTGGAATCAGTTGCATTTAATACCCGAAGATATGAGAGGAATTGGAATACAAATATCTAGACTGGAAATATGCAAGACTAAGCAGGCTAAAAGCAACTTAATTAATTTCTTTAATAAAACGAAAAGGTCACAACCAATCGATAAAACGTTGGGAGATGACAACAAAGATACTCGTTGTGTCTCAGACGAGAAATCTGAACCGGATTGCTCTGAAGTACCTTCAACTACAGAATCATTAGCAATAAAAAAAAATTGTGATACAGAAATAAGTAATTTGCCGTTGGAATCAGCAAAATCTTCGAACGGCGTCGATTCAGAAATTCCAGTCAGTGTTCAAGTCGAGCCGTCAACGTTTGTGGCTAAATCAAAAAGTAAAAAGTTGCACAATTCTAAGGTAAATAAAAATACTAAAGTGAAGGAAATGCTTGGAAAGTCCAATAAGAAAGTAATGCAAAGGCAGACGTCTCAAGAGAATTTCTTTAAACAAGTAAAACCAAACGGCGGGAGATCTTCGAAATACGCGATACCACAAATGCACGATCTCGATATGTCCGTGTTAGTCGAATTGCCCGCAGACATAAGAAACGAGATATTCGATGAATACAAGAGAAACAAGAAGCAGGCTGCGATAAGTGCCGCGAGCAGGGTTGATCCGGTGAATGAAGTTAAGTACGACGAGGAGAGTTCGAATGTACAGAATTGCTCGCAAGTTGATCCGGATGTTTTATTAGCTTTAATGGAAAACGATTTGCATCCCGATGTGCAACGCGACGTGCAGATGTACTGCGATATGAAGAGAGAGGCGAACAGAGCGAATTCGAAAGAAACAAATGAGAAAAGCGATAGCGAACGATTGCAGGAAACGAATGCGATTTCTTCAAAAATCAATGATAACAAAGAGAATGCAATACTTGTAAAGAGCACTTGTACAAATAAACCCGAACGTATACCACAAGAGAACGCAATGCATGCCGGAGATCAATTGTGCGAAAAGCATGACGCGGTCGAAGCAACATCCACATCGTGTCGGATCGATCATGTTGACACTTCACATAATAATGTTACGATGGATAAAGCCGATACCTTTATTTTACAGAATTTAAGTATTTTACATAACAATGAGAACGTAGATAAACATCATGAAATGTTGATTAATCTTGTGAATCATCTCTTCACCCTTCCATTACAACAGGTACCACATAAATTACTTCATTAAGAACCGTCTGTTCCGTGTCTTCGGCTAAATTATGCGGTAATTTATCTAATAGACAAGTGAATGTGTTGGACCAATAGCGTTTATCCATTAAATAAATTAATCACATAGTTTATCGGAAGATGAAACAAACAGTCCTAAGAGAAATTATTAAATAGGAACTGAGTAGCATTCTGTTTTTGAGATCTGGTGCACGTAACTGTGTTGCAATTTCAATCGATATTAATTATTATATATAAAATTATCTCTTAACAAGTAATACAAATTGTTTTACCTGTTACTGCTATAATATTGACAGATGCATCAGAGATATCTATTTTTTTTTCTTATACATGTATAGTGGATTTTGCATTTTACAAAAGATGGTAAATTCTTTTTTTTTTTAATGCGATGTTTTTTATTTGTGAATATTTATGCATTGGTGTTCAGATCCCTCGATCTCTGTATAGAATTAGCAGTTGTAAAATACATGCAGCGCGGTCACATGAACGTGATCATCATGCCGAACATTAAATGAATAACTGTGACAGTGACGAGTTGGAAGATTCAAAAATCTGATAAAAAAAAAACGTATATCAATAATATTCCATGACAATCATTAGCTTATCACAGTAACGTTTGCGCCGCTGAAATTTTATTTCAGTATTTCCAGTTTCAGATTTACCCTTATTGTACATTCGGAAACTTGAAAAACTTAATTCTAATTTAAACACAAAAACGTGATATAGATTATCAACGTATTAAAATATGTGAATTTCGAGAAATAAATATTAATAAAAAAAAAACATTCAACTTTTCTTATGCTATATTAAATAATCGAAGAGGACAGAGAAAAAAGTTGAACAGATTTAGCAGAATGTGAAAATTTCCTATTAAATTACCACCAGTATACCGTGCATTATAACACGCACTCGAGATTTTATCCAATTTTTAACATAAAATTAAACAAAATCCTATCTCTTTTTCGATAAACATCGTTTGGAATGAAAACCGTGTCACCTTTCTTTTTTTCTCCCATTTTTTTTTCTTTACATAATAACTTTATCAAGTGATACATCCGGAATACTATTTGAAAAATGACGTATATTATGTAAAGATGATACTTTTTGGCCTCGACTAAACTAAATATGACATTTTTTTTTAATAGGTAAAACTGCAAATACAAACATGGGTTACTAAATCTAATGTCGTGAATGAAGTAGACTTCCTGTCACTCGCGACGTTTCTTAGCATGCTTCCCGGAAAGAAACGTATCGAAGATCTACACATTTTGTTGAAAACCATGCACAGGTAATCTATCGTTTAGAAATACCTCCATTATAATAGACGCTCTTTTTTTTTCACTTCGTAACAAATGGATAATAAATAATACAACGATGTAGATTTTTTTGAGGAACAGATATCGCTTTACTCGCTCATCGATCGATAAATAAAAATATTCGGCATATAATACATTAAACGTACTTATATGTCTATTTGTTTTTTTTTTATTTTAGATGTACAACGAAAACCGGGAACTGCATTTGGCATAGAACATACAGAAGAACCGTGAAACATGTCCAACGTTATATGCAGATCGAGTACAACAACAATCTAATGGTACCGTTGATCAGATGTAATGATCCGAGATGTGATAACGATAATTGAATTCGAAATCTTCGTAAAATTTAATAAATTAAATTTCTACTAATGAGTGTGTAATATAAGAAATCTATTTACAAGCAAATGTGATATCCTTTAATTTCAATCCGAACGCGAATGCCGTTCTTTATCTAGAGAAGCCAGTAATACACGACTCGTTTAATGTATGTGCCTTTGGAAAAAGTTTGCTCGGTCTTGTATAAATTAGTAAGAAGTCGTCAACCTCGAATTCGTGTATTTCCTTTCGTAATATTTATATTTATATTTATATATATATACTTTTTTTTAAATATATTTTTTCGCTTCATAATCGTTACGCGCGCAGGGATGGTGAAAAAATAGAAAGGGGCCAGATGAGCGTTCACTACTCCCATTCGGTTGTTCCCGGTGGTTTAGACGTTAGGTCATATAAAACGCGTGAGATTCCGGGCACCGTGGATATTTCAGTTACCATCTTTTTCACCACCTATGGAACATATAATTCAGATACATTATACGATTATTCTTAACACGTTAAATACTCAAGCGCGTAAATGTGTATATAAATAAGCGCGGATATGAAAAGCCGCGTGAACTTACATGTATTGGCAAATCTTTGCCAGGAATCGCGGGCATTCCAGTCATGAAGTCGTTAGTACAGAATGGCCTAAGCACAACGGAACGTTGACATGATAACGTTCGACATGCCGTGTCGCGGTCGAAGTGTATCGGTATTAGAACAACGGGCATCTGGCTGACGGCTCCCATGCAGCCGTTAGAAGCCAACACTTGATTAGCTAAGTGGTCCGCCTGTCGTAGCGTCGCTATCACATTCGAGGTGAGATACGTAGGCGTGATATCCTGAATTGGATGATGCAGCTGCGGCCCGAAGATGTAACACACGCGGTTCACATTGTGACACACGCGCGGAATTAGTTTCGCGAGGAACAACATATCCTCCCACTCCACACCCTCGGATACAGTCTCCTCGCACGACAATCCCACTACATAGCTATAACTCCTTTGATCACCCTGCGAGAGGATAAAAAAAATCGAGAATACCTCAGTATCTGGCAAAAAAAATTAGGAATCGAGTATTTTCGATGTATTGACAATCTTTTCCGTGATTTTTAAATACCTGAACTCCTACGCTACGAATGGGCAAGAGGGTCGCCGCGATGTGACGATGACTCGAAACCCTGCGGAGTTGCTGACGCTCGCCTTCGCTCGTCGCGCCTTCCACGCGATTCAACAGCGCGTGCTTCTTCTGCAGCATCTGCTCGTACTCGGCCATTATTTTCACTATGACCTGGATGGGAACGAATTACAATTCATATATCGACGATCCAACGGAGGAAACAACTGTGGGATTTCAATGCTTCTTATTTTACTTTTTATTTTGCAATACCTGCGTCTCGGAGAAGTCCTTCTCTATGTAAGGCTCATCCGCGCAAAGGATTCGCACCGCAAGTCCGGGACCCGGGAACGGATGACGCGCGACAAGCGCCGCCGGCAATCCGAGATCACATCCCAACTGTCTCACCTCGTCCTTGTGGAAATCCTTTAATGGTTCAACTACGTATCCTTGCGCTCGCAGCACTCGCACGAGTTCACTGTCGTTATGGTGCGTCTTTATGGCTTCCGCTTTACCTGAACAGACATTTTTCAAATTCGCATTTTTGCAGCGCGAGGACACAGGAATTCGTTGCGAATAAAAAAAAAAAAAGAGATTTACCACTGACTAAGGCGCTTGCACTTTCTATTAGATCGGGCCTGAGGGTGCCCTGCCCGAGGAAAATGTCCTCCGGCTTCAATCCCATCTCTGCCATCGCCTCGTTCGCGACTCTCACGAAAACGTCCCCTATAATTTTTCGCTTCTCCTCCGGATTAGTGGTCTCGCATAACATCTTGGTTAACCTGGTTCTCGGGCTGCTCGCCGTACCGCAGATCCCTTTGTTATTCGTAACGTTGGCGTTCATTACGGGCGCGACGTTGTCCAACGGGACCGTCGTCGTTCCCTGCATGAAATAGCGAGCGGCATTTACTACTCTTAACGTGACGCACAATTGGGCTAGACTTTGCTCCACGAATTGAGTCTCTCCTTTACGCATGAAGCCGTTATTAATGTGTAGAGCTATAACTTGCTCCTTACTTAAAGCTTTTTGTAACAAAGCCGCGCACACTGTCGAGTCCACACCGCCACTCACTAATAACTGTAACAATTCATACGAAATAATTTCAAATGAAATATCTCTCCTGTTATCGCGTATCTAAAATGCTGCAATTTTATTTTCAAAGCTTGAGTTACTATTTTGAATTGGAGCGCTCATTGACTACGTACCAAAACCTTTTTGTCGCCTACAGTATTTCTGATGTATTGGATACACTGCGCCTCCCGATCGCGGAGCGTGTAATTACCCGTAAGGCCAGCGATACCGAATAAAAAGTTATGCAGCATGGCTTTTCCGTTAGGCGTCAGGTCCACCTCCGGATGAAATTGCACGCCATACAAATTCACCTTATCGCTCGCTATACCCGCAATTAAGCTTGACGATCTGGCAGTAGTACGAAAGCAGTCGGCCACCCTGTCTATGCTATCTCCATGGCTTAATAGTACCATTTGCTCCTTGTCCAAGCCCCTAATAAGTAAATACATCACTCATTGCACTTCTTGAACGTTGAAGAATGTTCGCAACGGGAGTTTTAGTTCGAACAAGCAAATATTAATTTAATCATTTGACACTTTTCAACGTGACGTGACGTTTCAATACTTTTTTACGTACTTAAATAACAGGCACTTGGTATCGACTTCAATGGGAAATTGGCCATCCTCGCGAATCTCCCTTCTGGTTACGCTACCACCGAATTCCTTATTCATCATCTGCATCCCATAACAAATACCTAATACAGGAATTCCTATTCGAAAGATATCTGTATCGTATCTAGGTGCATCTTCCGCATATACTGAACTAGGACCACCAGAAATTATAATAGCTCTGAAAAGATCGAATTGATCAAACAATGAATTACAATTATAATTCAAATCAATCTTATTAATGCACGATATTGCGTGTCTGCAATTGTGATAATTAGATAATAGTACTGAACATGTATATCTTACTTGTATCCTTTCTCCTGAAGAGTAAATGCAGGTGTATCGAGCGGTAGAATTTCACTATGAACATTTAATTCACGAGTCTTTCGATCTATTACTTTGCCGTATTGTGCACCTGCATCTAAAATAGCTACTCTTTCGTCAACAATGTCCATGGCTACTTCATCGGCACCATTATTTCTCTCAGCGCGAAACAGCAATCCATCGGCACTTTTTTCCATTTCAATGTTACGTTTTTAATGTTAATATCGTTGCTATATTACTAAACCTGCAACAATTTAAAAAGAATAACTACACTGAATAAAAAAATACTGTTATATTTAACAATATTAAATTATGATTTAACATTTTATTATAGTACAAGAATGATAAATTTATGCATTATTCAATTTCGCTTTAAAGAAATGCAATTTTCTCATTTATTTGCAAATAAATAATTTTCATTATTCATTTCTTCTATACAACAATATATATAATTATATGTATATTTTATTTTTCTGATTAATTGTATTAAATAATAGGTCGATTTTCTTTACTCTTTAATCGTGCACACTAATAGTGCAACTTTATGATTATATAACTAAACTTGCTCAATATTGTTTTCGCTCAATCTCTGTCAGAGTCGTTGATAATAAGGTTCAAATATGTTAATGCTGAAAACACGAGTAATAAAACTAAACGAGATAATTGCTACATATCCTAGTACAGAGATGTAAGAAATTAGACATAAGCAATTTTTTTTCATTTACAACTGCTATTAATTATAATCAATACTTCATTGTAATAAAAAGCTTATAAAACATGCGCAAAAAATAAAAATAATAAATCATCTCTGAGAATAATTCTATTCTTTAGAACTAAATTTCTTATAATATTAATACACATTATTTTATATATATATATATATATATATATATATATATATATAAATGGACCTATATTTTTTACGTGTGTAATAGAATAGATCAAATGCTCTAATAGGCCTAAATGCATCTACACGTGATACAATAAAATAAAAATTTTGACGCAAAAAGAAGCTCGAGTTCTTGAGCAAGTGAGGAATTAAAAAAATTGTATATATGTATAAATATACATCATACTTGACTACAGTCGCGACTTCTTTCACGAATTACTCGCACGCTAAGAACTTCCCGTTCCAGAGCTTTACGTTACACACGTCGATCTCAAGAGAGAGATATATTTATTGATACTTATCTCTCCGTAAATCGTACAAAAAGTGACAAGAATGTACTGCCTCACATGTTAATGGACATCCCGAGCCGAGAGACAGAGAGAGAGAGAAAGAGAGAGAGAGAGACTATACTACTATACGTTACACTTGTCGTTCGCCAGCTGGACGCGCGTCGCTCGACACACCCTATACACGTGCCCGGTGGATTCGCGCTCGCGAAATTTCGGCGGTGCTACGCGGTGCCGCCGGTCTGGGTTATTTAACGAAAAACAAATATCTCTCACCGGGCCGTGCGAGGTGCGCCTCGGCGGCGGGTTAACGTTCGCGCGGCGAATCCGCAGACTATAGGTTATCTCGAGCGTCGCCGTCCGTGCGCGGGGCCGCCGTTCGGCTTACCGGAACGTTCAACGGGAGGCACCGCTCGTGAGGATCGCCGAATAAAGTAAAACTAATCGCAGAAGAACAGAACGGAGAGACATCAGACGAGGCGGCCATTCGATCGCCACAATGCAGCGCGATCGTTGACTGCTTTCAAGTAGCGGTCGCGCAGACGCGCCAACCCTCGCGCCGCGAAATCCCCAAAGCCGGCGATCACGAAGTCACGTATAATTGCGCGCGTGTGTGTGTGCGTGTGTGTTTCCTGCAAAATTAATTATACATATACATTTTATATACGTAATTAAATTTATTATATTATAACAATATAATGTATAATATAATTATACCGATATGAACATTATTTGTTATATTACTATTTATATTATATATATATATATTAATATATATATAATTCAATCGTCTAAATGTGAATGCGAAAACAACACGGTGTAGTTTATATATGCATATAAATATATATAAATGCCATGAACATCGCGAATCTCTCTTTCCTTCTTTTTTTCGCACAACTACGTTTAGCGCTGCAACTGCTGCAAGAGTACGGCGAGAGTGCAGGGTATTTGGTTGCAAGTCATGCACCGTGAATTGGAACGCTCGATCACTTCACGCGGACGGCAAAATATCAACAATAAACTACGTACCGCTTCGTGAAAACTAATGGAAAAGAAGGCCAATTACTTCTATTTTCTATTATATAATATACAAATGGCTGAAATAAATTTAATTAGATTCACACTGAAAGTAAAATGAATACAGAGAAGCAGAGTGTAAATGGAAATATTTACGATAGTTAAGATTTTTTTTTATAAAAGAGAGTTTGTTCATTTTTTTAAATGATTCTATTTTTCTATTTAAAAAAAAATTGCGATAAATGTTGGAAAAATTAACTCCAAATTTGATGAGTTTGAGATTAATGATAACTTGCATGTAATAATAATTATACATGCAGTCCCCTGACGAAAGACAACCCGTTATACTGATCGTTGTGCATGATAATCTTACACATTATATAAATTAGTTTTACACATTCGTTATTAGCACACATACGTTATCGTTACGTTATGATTCGTTCTGATGTGCACAACGTTTATATTTAAATTTGATTTGTAATGTAACATAACTGTAAAATACAATACATTGAGATTAAGATTATATAAAATAGGAATTTATATAAATCTATATTAATTTGTACCTCTTCAATAAGATATAATAATGTAATGCAAAATGATAACATTTTACATTAATTATTTAAATTTGCTGGAATTTTTTTTGCTCAATTCTAGCAAAAGTTTTTGAAACACATTTTTTTTTCAATCGAAATAAATGACTCACATTTCTAAAAATTATTCTTTCTAGAGAATTCTAAAAATAGAAATTTTTAATTAGATGGATCGTTGGATGTATTTCGATTCTGACAATCTTACAATTAACAAAATTCCCGTTAATTAGATCTATATATCGTTTTCATAATACGGACATCCCACACTATTTTTACTGCAATTTGCCGTATCGTAGATCATATCATGAACTTGACATAACTTGGGATACCTAGTAATTTTCTGATTACTAATCATGTCGCACTCGTTAAAGGAAACCACTTACGGACTCGGACGATAATTGTATGGAATTACAATGCGCTCGGCGTGTTGTTTCCAAATACTGGATATCGCATGTAAGTTCCCGCGCAAGGTAATACACACATGCAATTACGAGTGGCATTGCGCGAGCCGAGACAAAATTGTATTACAGTATTCGCGCGGCTTAAAACCAGCAATTTTTACTGCAGCTCGTTGAGGATACTCGACTTCCGGCTGAACCAAACATCGAATTCGCGAAGCCGCTCCGACACAATGACCGTCTTGCACGAAGCGAAATAATCGAACACTCGTGTCCCCTCGGGCTGCAGACTCATCAATTAATTCCTCCTGGATCGGGTCCTCCTTCTGTCCGGTCCTGCCTGTCTAAAACACATGTGATTACAATCGATCCGATGTGCATACGACTATTTACATAAGGAGCATTTACGTAAGGAGCGAACTCCGCCAAGGGTAAGTGCGAACTATAAAAGATGTATCCGGCCGAATGCAATAACTCAGTTTCGCGCGAATTCCTAACAACGCCGATAAAGTTATGGGTAACTCGAGTCTCTGCTTGCTGGCCATCCTGGCGGCCGTCTTGGCGGCCGTTGTTGCCGAGGAGATGTACTCGGACATATTCGATCACATCGATCCCGACGAAATCTTGCCGAACGATGAGCTTCGAGATCAGTATTACAAATGCTTCATGGAAACCGGCCCGTGCCTGACGGATGATCAGAAATTCTTTAAACGTATGATATTTTATTACTTCGTATATATAGAAAAAAAAATGATGTAACAGCATTAGCCGACGGCATCTAATTAAATAATCCTGTTAATTGAGTGACAGTATTAATGAAACAAATACTCTTGCTTTAATAAAATATTAATAAATATTAATAAAATATTTGTCTCTCATTAGTAATGTTATTGAATGAATAATTATTTTCAATTAGATTGCTGTTGGTTAATGTGCTGTTAATACCAATTTAATATCAATTTATTTCTGTGGATAAACTTGAATTTCACAAACGATATCACTTTTATTTTGTATGGAAAATAAAAGTGTTATTAATAATATTATTATAACGTGACGGAAAGTATTATTTCAACTGAAAAAAATGTAGAAAATATAATATTTTTTAAGATGTTAGGAAAATAGAATATATATTGTTTAAAATATGAAGAAAAAACTTCGAAAACTATATTGAGAAAAGTTTTTATTGCACAAAAGATCAAGTAATCAAATATGATGCACGGAGATGCACGTGTCTTAAACTCTAATAATATTTTTATTAGAGTTTAAGACACGTGCATCTCCGTGCATCATATTTGATTACTTGATCTTTTGTGCGCAATAAAAACTTTCTCAATATAGTTTTCGAAGTTTTGAAAGCGTATTACTAAATGAAAAAAATATTTAAAATAGATAATATTACATAGAATTATAACAAGATAATATTCACACATTTTAGTTTGAACGTTATTCTGCTGTTACTTTGCAAAATGTATCAATGGAAATATCTGTAATTTTATATTATTTTTGTAGAGCATGCCGCCGAAGCGTTTGCAACGAAATGCCGGAAGTGCACGGAGAAGCAAAAGCTGAATGTGGAAAAGGTGGTCGTATGGTACACCGAGAACCGCCCCGAGGAATGGAACGCCATGATACTGAAGCTTTTGGAGGACGCGAAGAAGTTGAACATTACGCCCGTTGACTAAATGTTGCCAAACAAACAACGCATTTCGCGCTGTCATGTATACTTAATTGTGAAATAACAAATAACGATCTTGCATCCGCGTGTAGTTTTCCGAGATATAGCTGCAATACACCGATACGGCGTACGTAGAAAGGCGAGAGAGGCGAGATTTAGCATGTGTTGCATGTGTACAATTTTAACTTGACAATAAAAGCCGTTCGTCGTGACGGGTTGAAACGTCGTGTGTACCTCTTATAAACGAGTGCATCGGCAATCTGCGATTGTAAATCACGGCGGTATTTACCGGCGTTATATATCGTCGCGCATGTATCTCCGCGGATCTAGCTCGCGGAGGAAAAAAAAAAAGGGAAAAAAGCGACAATAATATGAGTTTTTGTCACGCGTCCTCATCCTCTTCATCCTCGATTGGCGTCGCGGCCTCACGCATGCGTCGGAAATGTATTTCATTCGCCAGAGCGCACGTTCGCACAGAGCGGGCGGAGGGGTGGACACTTGGTTGCATGAATACTCTAAGCGCACCGGCAACAAAATCATTTCTGCTAGTCGCGAAATAATGCTCAGGGAGGAGACGCTCGTACCCGACCGCCGGCGCTCATATTATTTCTGACTAGAAAAAAAAGTGCTTTCGCCTGCGAACCCCGTCATGAGCCGCCGGTCACCAGCGAGACGATCGATACGGGCGGTGGAAAGGGGTGGCCACGGCCTGCGAGGGTGACTGCAACGTGACGTGTACGTCATATATTAACACAGTTCGACGGTATAACCCTTCCTCCCCGACGAAAATAATTCCCGCGGAAGTGTCGCCGCGTGTTAAATAATTACGGCCAACAATTATGTCCTGTCAATTAACTGATAACGTCAAACTGATCTGGCGATATTATTTCGTGTAGCAGCCGGCAGTCCCGCCGGTGTGTCAGAGAATACACGCCTATGCTGGTGCACGAGGGGTTCTTACACGCGCGTCCCGCGCTGTACGACTCGAGTATAACGCGTATTCAAACGAGTTTAATCAGCTTATCTTGAGAAAAACAGCGGCGTCTTCATTTTTCAATGCGACTATTTGGATACCGCAGTGCCAGATGAAGGAACGGCTGGTGCGAAACGCGCTCCCGTTCCGGACGAAAGACTCGGAACGCGCGACGGAATTCGCTCTTCGTCGGAGTACTTCATTAACCGATTTAATTTCTTCCCGTCGCGTGCAACACAGCGTGCGAGCGTGACATAATGTGAACAAACAAACAAAAACGAACAAAAAAAAACGGACGCACAGCAAATCCGTCCTGAAGAAAAAGTTAATTCGCGCGTCGTGAGTAATAATTTTGCACGGTAAAAATGTAATGACATCCGCGTATTTGTGTTGAATCATGATGACTGGAGGAGATACTTGACACAGGAAAATAAACATTTTTCTGCGAAGATAAACACGAAAGGACGCGAATTTTTACGAGAGAGCGTTATAAAAAACAGGTATTTGTATCACGATTTGTTACGGTATATTTTGAGAAAAATTTCACAATTTAACGGTACTTTTAACAAGATCCTCTCCTCCTATTCCAAAGACTTTATCCATTATAATAACAATAGATTTAAAAAATAGATATTAAGCGAAATAAATAAATCTCGCTTGATAGTTGATCAATTAACATAGTTTTTCTTGCATTCTCACGTGCTCGTACGCATAAATCACGTCCTCTCGCATAAATTGAGAAAACCTTGATGCAAGATATCACATAATGCGGTATCAAATCACACATGATCACCCGGCAATCATGTACGTATTATATATAATGATCTATTTCAATCATCAGCTCTTTAGCATCGTGAAACGAGATCATAAATGTGATGAACAATTTTACGTGACGTGCGGCGTGTGAGACTAGCGGGATACTTTCGATTTTCACACATGTATTTTGTACTTTGACACTGAGCCAACAAAGGCTCGTATTCTATAATAAATAATCTGCATTTTCTTGCTTTTTTTTATCGTGCGATATGAATGCACTTAGGAAGCGCGCTAACAATGCGTCATTCTATCCTTATTTTATGTCTTATAATTTTATTATGATCGATAAAAATACAATGTGACATAATAATGCTGACAATAGTCCGAACGCATTCCATATACGGGACAATTTATTCACGAGATTCGTTTCGAGTAAATGATCTCGATAAATGCGAACGCTTAATCGGTAAACTTTCGACCGTTATTATCAACTACACGCGTAAAAAAATATGTTAAAGGTCATAACATTTCAAGCCCGTTTCTCTAAATATTGTGAAATCAAGATGATATATTTGCAAGTGAGACGTTGCCAGCAAGAAAACCCTGAAGAACGTTTGGAAATTATTAGGTCAATCTAGTGTTAAAATCGAAAGCGATAAGGTACACTTGCGGTTTTGGCAGACATCCGGTTGTAATAATTAAAGAAACAAGTTAAAATAACTCTGCTAAACTGCAAACTTGTAATTCTCGTTTTGCATGCTTCTTCGGCGAAGGTATGTTGATTCACAATTGTTTTTCGTATCAAAAATAACATTTCCATCCTCTCTCTCTCTCTCTCTCTCTCTCTCTGGTTTTCATTTCTTGGCAACGCTCACTCGCAAATATATCATCTGATTTCACAACAATATTTAGAGAAACAGACTTGAAATGTTATGATCTTTAACATATTTTTTACGCGTGTAATTTGTATTAAAAAAAAAAAAGATATCAAATGCGAATTAAAAACGTAACAAAATAAAATGCACTTCGATAAAGAATAATGAGAATGTTTGCGCGAGTTTCACATATGCAGTCACAATGTATTTTGTTCGCGCCATTATCACACAAAATATGGGACAATAGCCGTCCACTTCAGGAAATGTTATCCTGTTGTAGAAATATTTTACTATCTATTCTGGCTTGCTCAGACCTCGACTGACTTTCGTCACAATGTTGACCAGTGGTCAACCAATGGTCAACCAATGATGCGTTCCGCTAATAATATTTTTGAAATTTTGAGGAGACCAAAGTCTCAAAGTGCTAACTCGTAACAGAGAGTGATGTCCGAACACATAGACATGCATAGACATCACATTCTTTTCGTTCGGAAACAAACCATCCTGACTAATTTTATCTCAGTACAGCGTAGTCCAATGAGAAAATCATAAAGATGAAAAAGAGATTATTGTGGTGCGGTTTCGCTTTCGCCGTCGTGCTCCTCATACTTATGATCTCGACCGAGAGCAACATCATCCAAAGGATACCGTTCCTCGACGTGACGACAGTCAACGATATCAGATGCTACAATGAAGCCTCGACTGCGAAAAGCATTCATGATTTCGATGCGGAAACAAGTACGAAAATTACTATCTATTATTTATCTTCATACACGTATTAAGAATTCGAGAAAATAATTCTTTATAAAAATAGCATGTATAATCTTTGTATAAAATATGACTCTCTCTCTTTATGATAAAGATCGTAAAAAATTATCAAGCGTCATTACATCTTCAAATCAAATTTATATGTTTTATCCACAAATCATAAATTTATTATATCTGTTTGATTTTGTGCGGTTTGACAACGGTACAATATTAAATAATTACTTTTTTTTCAGTATTCATTGCTTAGATTGTTTTCTACATTAGCGTTGAATGAATCGATGTAACAATGCTCTAATCGGCTTTTTCAAAAAAGTTTGGAGAAATTAAAATATATATTATACCAAAATTGTATAGAAAAAATAAATTATTTTAATGTATTATCCTTAGTAACTCATTTCTTTAAAAGAGAAAATTGAATGCAGATTTACTTAATTTACTTAAAAATCTTTCTAAAACTTTCATTCGGATTCTAATAATTTTTTTAGGGCAAGCCTCTTGAATATAAATAAAATTAAAAAAAAAAGTTTATCTTTATTGAACATAAGGCAAAAAAATGGCTTTTATACAATCGATCTTAACATTCTTGTAAGGTTTGACATTTAGTTGGTGTTAACATTCTGAGAACTTGACGAGTTACCACGGCGAATATTGCGATCGCAATAAATTAAGATATCTTACTTAATAAATATATTGATATATCTGTAACGAAAATCACTTACATTACTTATGTTTCAGATGACGACAAGCCAACGCCAGGTAGGAACATCTTCTTCCATGAGACTTCCTGTTTCGGCGAGGAGGGCCTCACGTTGAACCCCCGACAGGCCTGTGCCGTGGAGTCGGCGGCGCGGATGAATCCGTCGATGACCGTGTACCTGCTATTCGTCAGCAAGTCTGAGTTCTCGAACAGCACGCGCGAGATCGTCAGGCATCTCCACAATTATCCCAACGTCAGGATCCGTCACATCGACCCGCAGAGGTATGTGAAGGAGACGCCCTTGGAGGCGTGGTACACCAGCGGCGTTCTGAAGAAGAGCCACTGGCCGGTCAGTCACATGTCCGACATGCTGCGCTACCTGACCCTGTGGAAGTACGGCGGTATCTACCTCGACCTGGACGTGGTGGTCACCAGCTCGCTGGAGGATCTGACGAATTTTGCCGGCGCCGAGGACTGGGACGACGTCGCCGCCGGCGTCATGGGCTTCGACATGTCCAAGCTGGGCCGCCGCGTGGCCGATGCCTGCGTGCGTGATCTGAAGAAGAATTTTCGCGGCGACGTCTGGGGTAACAACGGGCCCGGGGTCATCACGAGGACGTTGCAGAAACTCTGCGCGACGATGTATGTGAGTATCGGACACCGAGAGAAAAGATCGGGAACTGCAATAACCAGGAATTCACGTCTGAAAGATTCAAAAGTGAATTAATATTATTATTTGCAACTTTAAAATAACATATACATACGTCATACATACACGTTATAGATAATAATTCTAACTTCATAAAACTTTACAAATATTTTCAATTTTACAAAACCAAGTCGAACAATCGAACTTTCCAAGAAGCATTTTAAAAGAATTAAACCTGAATTTGAATATCTGAATTTTCATTTTACTTTTTAGAAAAAAAACTGAAAATGTTTCAATAAATATTAATTATAGACATAATATAGATAGACCGAGCGTGCCATATGCCAAGCATGAGCGACACGCAAATTTATTGATATTTATAAAAACATAAAAAAAATTATTAATATCATAGACATAGTTTAGATAGATCGAGCATATGCCATGTGCTAGGCATTGGCGGCACGTGCGAGTGAGAGGAAACAACACCAGGTTTTTTTTTCTCTCTGACAAATGTTGTTATCTGTATGTTAGAGAGAGAAGAAAAAAAATCCAGTGTTGTTCCCTCTCACTCGCACGTGCCGCCCTGCATGCCTGACATACAACATGCTCGATCTATCTAAATTATGTCTGTGATATCAATAAATTCTCTCTATGTTTTTATAAATATCAATAGACTAGACATTTCCTTTTATTAAAAAAATTACGAATGGCTAAAAAACAGGTAATTTCAAATATTATTTACAATTAAATGGGCAAATTATTTGAGACTAAGAAGAGTGAATTTGAACATCTGTTAAGCAAATGTGATATAACGATGATAAACTGGTAGAATAAATTTGAATAACGTCATTTTATGACGTTAAGAATTATAGGCGTACTTAATTCTTGCTTAAACAAGCGAGGTGTATTAACGCGCGCAAAGTAAACAACGAAGTCTATTCGTGGCGAGTAAGTTTCAGGCAGACTCGCTCCGTTTAATTAAATTTGTTGAATTCGTCCGGCGGATATATATGGTCCATTATTCTCTTAACACAGAAAGATGCGGATTTAATTCCACAACGGAGCAAGAGCATTGAAAAAATTTATATTTGTTTGTTCAGTTTAATTCTTGCCAATTTACTGCATGCGAAAGATTAACGTATGGAAGATGCATCCTTATTAAAATTATTATGAACAATGTGATTTTTGTGCAGCCTTTTACGTTTTATGCGCATAAAATGCGCATCCTAATACCAGAGTCTCGGAAGATGTAATGTACTATATCTGCGATACTGTATCATAAAAATGCATGCTAAATATCGGAGTCTCGGAATGTGCGATAAGCAAATAACAAATCACAAACACAGACATTTAACAGATAACAGATAACGGATAATAATTTATGGCATTATTCTTCTTTTGAAATACGCAAATTTTTGTAATTTAATCTAGTACGCTCGCGTACATATCTTATATATGTTAATGATTATTATTGTCACTAATTATTACTAATTGAAATGGATTATTACTAATTGGAAATATTATTATTTCTTTCTTCTCTTCCTATATCTCTCTATTGCGTATTTTTATTAGTTATATCATTTTCATTCCATAATTACTCTAATTTTTTAAATTACTCTAGTTTTTAATTTAATATTAAATGTTTTCTTATCGATATTAAATAATTTTTTAAAATTAAATTTTTTCTTGTAAAAAAATATAACAATTTTACTTTTAGTTAACATATTCACTTTATAAACTTTAAAAACTACACTACCTAACACTTTAAAAAATTAAAGATTAAAAGATTAAAGATACTTCAGTAAGCTAAAAAGTATTTTTACATTCTATTTTGTAGGCGCGCGATATGACAACCGTACGTTGCCACGGCTTCACGGTATATCCACCGTCGGTTTTCTATCCGATTCACTATATAAATTGGAACAAGTATTTCGAGGTGAAAGACAGCAACGCAACTCTGAAGATACTGAACAAGGCGAAGGTGATTCACGTGTGGAACAAATTGAGTAAGGCCGAAAAGGTGCGAGTGAATAGCAATGTACCGTATGCCGTTATCGCACGGAATTATTGTCCCTATGTTTTCAATAACTGCGGCAAAATATTTTAAATTCAAGCACACAGTTAGGATAAAAAGCGTGAAACACCGCTCGTTTCGTCACAATATTGAAAATTCCACACGCGAAATTCCACATCCGCAGGACGAATTTGTCTGATACAATCCGAAGGACGATGACGTTCGTCATGTCAGATAAAATGCATTTAACGAGACTAAGGCTGATTTAGAAAAGTATTCTATTCACTCTGCTCTTTCCGTAAGGATGTATAAATTTCTGTAAATGTATATAAACGGTATATTTATAACGTCTGACGCGGAGACCAATGCCATTTTAAACATTACCATGAATTACCGCGGTTACTGAATATTAATAGTTAAATTGCTGCCCTGCGCGATGTAATGCAGCTGTAACTCATAATCGTACGTTTAATTGTAAGTTACATTGAAGATCGAGGTGAATATCTCAATGTAAGTCAGATGCTTGCCACACTGATTGCTTGTACAGTACGAAGACTACGAAATAATAGATCCTTTTCCTACTGTTATGAAGGCAGAGAAATCTATTTTTACACTTGAAGAGGCTCGTCGATCGTATTTTTCCCCGTTAGAATAAAAGCAAAACAATTTTGCTTACTTCTCGTTATTTTCCTTTGCATAAAATTTACTAAAATAAAATAGATAAAATTATTTTACACGCAATAAATTTTGAAAAATCACCAGAATAGTTTATCTTTACGGGAACACGAATTTCCATAATGTTACAAATGCATATTTACATAATTCAGTTTTACACACATCTGAAATCGATATCTGTTTTACATCAAACAACATGTTATAGATTATTCTAGTCTAATCTGTATAACATATTAATTAATCAGATTAGTTTTTAAAGCAAAATCAATTAATATCAAAGCATAAAAAGAGATTGTTCAGCAATACGTAACATTTATGTATCATTGTTATTCCTTGTATCCTTGGTAAAACAAAATTCTCATAATATAATATTTTTAAGAATTTGTCATAATTAAAATTTAGGAAGATTTCTGAAAAATACTTTAAACTTTAGATTTTATAAGTTTTCTTCATAAATTATATGTATATATAAAAAGGAATCTTCGAATATTTCAAAATTCACATATATAAAATTTCTAGAAAATTCCAATTCGTATATAAGAAAATCTGAAAAATTGGAAAATTTTTTATAGAAATCCTGAAAAAGTGTATGAAAAATTCTAATTGCAAGACAAATATACGCGCCAGTGATCTATTGTAATGTAACCAAAGATAACATGTATGTCAAATGGTAGTTATATACACAAAACGGATTTATCAGTACAAATTATTAAAGACAACCAATTGTTGCTAATATTATTACAATCAAAAAGTTCAGCACACAGCAGTAGTTAATTCCTTTTTTAAGAATTTGAAGGCCTTAATTAAAATTAAATTTTATAAGCCTAAAATTAATTCCTTCAAGTTCTTGAAAAAATTGGCCAGGTTCGTAGATCACTATTGTAAACTGGGTCTTTTGATTGTATTGCATTATAGATATTATAAATATTAATGTTATTGTTATCGAAAACAATAATGAAACATAAATGGGCAGTTTAAATACCAAACTATCGTATCTTCACCGAAATTCATCTCCTTGCAAACGATTTTGCGAGT